TTATGTTAATGCTATTCAATTATAATATTGGGAAATTACTCAAGACTTTAACAATCAGTTCATACTATATTTGCCCCAACACATTTATAAGACATTGTTTTGTGTCTCCTTTTAAAGTATCACTGTGATGCTAGAATACTCTCTAAGAATACTGTAGACTATGGAGGAAATGGCTGTTTGCTAACTGAAGACTGTGGAACGTAATTGTATTCTTCACTGTTCCAGCTCCATCTAAATACCATCAACCTACTTTTTGTCTGTCTCCCTTATATCTCCTTGGCCAAGGCAGTGGTTTTCAAACTTTGCCATGCATAAAAACCTGAAGAAGTTTGTTAAAACAAATTTTTTGAGCCTCACCCCCAGAGATTCTGATTGAGTCTATAGAGTAGGACTCTATTTACATGTTTGTCAAACTTACAGATGCAGCCCAAAATGCTGGTTTAAGGACCATTGGCACAGGGGTAGAAAAGTTTTGTCCCGACAGATCTCCAATTCTATGGGAAATTCATGAAAACATCTGCGGCTGAGTCATCTTGGTCCTTCTCCTATTGAAATAGCTACCACTAAGATAGCTAAAAGTGATTTAGCTATCACCTAGAAATTAAAAAAAGGAAAGCAGTGCTATAAACATCATTTAAATTTCTTTTAAATTACTGTTAGCCCTAAACAATTACTTAAGCAGAAAGATTTAGATTCTAATCAACTATGCCAGTGAATACTGTGCAACTCAGTTTGAAATATGGAACTTTAATAAGTTTTTGTGTCATAAAAGTGAATAAAAGTCACTGATGTGATAAAAAGATGATGCATACATAGTTTAGACCATCCTTTTTACCTGCATCCTTTCAATTTCAATCTATTTTGTGAAAAAAATTGCAAGTAAAAAAAATTATGAAAATATAGCAGCTAGTAAGGTTCCACAATGATAATATTTACATTATAATATAATACCTTATTATATCATATCACATCACCTGATGCTTAGTCAAATTATTCTAATAATGCCAGGAGAAAGGTTTTTAAGACTTCATCTAAATACAAGTCATATTAGGTAACCAAATATTCACTCAGTTCAATTTAATGCACTTCATCTGCACAGTTCTGTAGATAGTAAGTAATAAAGATACATCATCAACAGGGCAGTTGTCATGAAGCTTAGAAAGTCATTTCTACCAATTCTTACAAGCTAACCTATTTCTACTATATATACGAGGATTCCAGTGTATGCTAGTTAAATGACTGACTTAAAATTATGCCTGGACATATGAAAACTGTACTTTCCTCTCAATTTTGTTGTGAATCTTAAACTGCTCTTAGAAAAATAAAGATTAAAAAGTTGATCTTGAATTATTAACAAACCAGTACCTTACTATACTAGTTAAGTTCCAATCTGAGTTAAATGATATTGAAGTCAATGACCAAAATGACAAAATTGTCTTTCCCAACCATCGAAACTGAAAGATTGTCTAACCTCTTCCTGACAGTGACATTGACATACTGCCTAGTGCTAGTTACTTTCCTGACCAAAGCTGAACAGTTTCAATTACCTGTTTGTATCTTTTCTTTTATTTTTGGAAAACACACTTCCCTTTCCAATAAATAGGGTTGGATGATAAGAGCCTCTTAAAGGACAGAATTCACACAATTAAGTAGGAATGCTCTTAAATATGTTGGATGAGTTAATTCTATACTGTCTAAAATCCCAATTGACCCAATATGTATGTCACTGATACTAATTCCAGGAGGTGGATTCATCACATACTTGCTTCTTTATATTTTATTTACTCTTCTTGGTGTTCTTTAAGGTTTTGGACTTTAAAGAAGGTTAAAGGAGGTGGGAAAGGCAAAGAGTGAGGAAGGTCAGAAAGAACAGAAATGAACTAAATGGGCTTTATCATTCAGTAAATGGTGTTTTATTTTTATTTGCCATAACATTTGTCCAATATCTTTGTTTTCCCTAAAACTAGCCTTATAAAAATATGCTTACTATCTTCAGAACAACAATGCAAAGGGCAAATAAAAACTACTTATTGTGACAATGAACAACATTGAGGAGGTAAAAGAGGGTTAGTAGGCATAATTAAAGACCCTTTTCAAATGCTTTGGTAAGTGTAGTTCATGACTGAGAATCTTCTAAGCTATCCTCTCTAATGTACAGAATATGAAAAAGTTATCTGTCAGTGACAGTTATTAGGTTTTTAGAGTGGCAAATCTAGTAAACAAATGTTTTCAGATGCCAAGACAAAATGAATTCTAATGAAATGAACTTCATGTTTGAAAATATAGATTATACTAAATAAGACACATTAGTAGATATTTAAACTCTCTCTTCTATAAACATATATATGGAACTAATGAACTTGAGTTTATATTATTTAAAAAACACGACTTTCAGAACTCAAAGTATTCTTATTCTTATTAAGATAATGAGGGAAAATATGAGTTCTATATCATCGCAGATATGTATATAAAAAGGTGAATATACTATATCAGTTACAGT